GAAAAGAAGGAGGAAAAAAAGGAAGAAGAAGGAAATGATTGGATGAAAATGAGAGAAAGAATGATGATAGGAAAGGAAAAGAAAATGATAAATGATGACTGTTTGAAATGATGTTTAAGGAAAAGCTTTGAACATTTGCAATGAAAGAAAGTAATAATAGCAAACAAAAATTGATAAAATTGAAAGAATTCAATCAATCAAAATGATATATAAGAAAAAAAAAGGAAAGGAATATTAATTAATTGGTTAATTAATTAATTAATCAATGATCGGTAAATAAATTCACAAAAATAAATTTACCAGCAAAATTTGTCAATTCCAATTTCATTTGCTGTTTTCAATTAAATCAATTTCATACTGTTTTAGAAAAAGAAAACGAAAAAAGGGAGAGAGGAGAGAGAGAGAGAGAGAGAGAGAAAGAAAAGAGAAAAAATGACTAGCAAATAAATGAAAAATGAAAGGAGAAAAACAAAAAAACAAAAAATAAAAACAGCGAAAGAGATGGATTATATTAGCTCTTACATTTAATATGTCTATACCACTATAAGTTTATTTTGAAATCAAAATTTTGACAATTTCAGTAAATGATAACCTTATTATAAGCAAAGCAAAAGGAGAAAAAGAAAAAAGGAATTGAAAAAAGGAAGAGATGAAATTAAAAGAAGAAAGAGAGAGAGAGAGGAAATATTGGAAATGAAAATGTAAAATGTATTGATATAATTGATTATAGTCTCGATGAAATCCTCAAATAAAAACCATTTGCAAAAAAAAAGAAAAAAAAAATTATTGGCAATGTTCCATTTTTATTGAAAAATAAAAAATGACAAAATTTTGACATTTCTTTTGAATATAACAATGATAAATGTGCAAAATTATATGTTTCTTCTTTCTTTCTTTTTTTATAAAGGAAAGAAATAAATAAAAATTTTATTTTGATATTATTTGACCAGTTATTGGGATAATAATGATAATGATAAGGACAAAGTTATTTGATATATATATATATATATATATATATATGTATATAATGCTCCAAAGAATTCATGAATTTGAACATTCATGATGACGGTAATAACGGTAATGATAATGACGATAATAATGGTAATGATAGTGATGTTAAAGGAAGTGGTAATAATGATAATGATGAGGATTACGCCTATAATATTGATGTTAGTGACGATGATGATAACAACAATAATAGTGGTGATAGTAAATGATTGCAATGGTTACGATGGCGATGATGACGATAACAGTTACATTAATAATATTAATATTCGTAATAATGGTGACGCTAGTGATGATATTGATGATGATGATGATGATGATGATGATGAGATAAATGAATAACTGATTGAATAGATGAATTGGAAGTGAATGAATGAATGAATGAAATGAAATGAAATGAAATAAATGAATGAATGAATGTATTAAATTAACTGAATGGATTGATTGAATGAATGAATTGTATGGTCGAATTGAATGAATGAATTGAATGAATGAATGAACTGAATGAATGAATGAGTAATGCTTACATCAATATGAGGGAATATTAATTAAAAATTCCAAATTTATGGCAGTATTGAAACTGATGTGAAAAAAAAAAAATGAAAATTCATCAATAGTATTATTATCGTTAATGTTTCCTTTTTTTTTTCCTCTTATCTAATTCATTTACCGAAATATTTCATATATAATCCCAAAAAGAAATCAAAGATTAATCTATCAAAGATTAATCTTCTTTTGTACCATTTTGAATACCATCAAAAACGTGTCAACATACTTCAAATTCGTTTGTTTAAAATACAAAAAAAAAAAAAAGAAGAAAAAAAGGTAATAAATAAATTATGTGAGAATTGAAATATCCTTAACATTTAAGAAATAATTAACTGTAAATAATTATAATACAATTTATAACATTCAATAATTAATGAGACATATTTGCATACATATACGTGCTGTGTACTGTGTACTGTATTTGTGTCTGTATATGTGTGCATATGTGTGTGTGTGTGTGTGTGTGTGTGTATGTGTGTATGTCTGTACATGTGTGTATGCTGACTTTGTTAATAAATATTTGTGTTATTTTTGCTTTACCAAATGAAAATTGTTGGAAAGAAACTCAGACTGATTTAAATGTCTTATCATCAATCATTAAATCATTGAAGTGCAACGTTTTGCATTTACTTTCATAAAAAATCTGTTTTGATTTTTAATTCGCAAACAATTTCATTTATTACATTTACTAATAATTACTATTAATAAGTATTACTTTATTTGTTTTTTTTTTTTTTTTGTTTATTTTTATTTTTAATTAATGAAAATAAAACGAATATTATGTAAATTAAAAAAAAAAAGCCTGATTCATTCAAATATGCTTTGCTGTAAGTGTAAAAGATGATCGTATTGATAGGCAAAAGTATTTCCCGATTGTTCTTTTTTTTTCTCACAATCTAAATTGATTTCATTTCCGATTTAACATATCTATACGTTAAAAAGTGTAGCGCAGTAGCATCCATTGAAATGAGGAAATGAATTGAATGAATTTTCACTAAGCATTATCGGATTTATTTCAAACTTTTCCTCTATTTTAATTTTAAACTTTACATTAATCGATCATTTCCAAAATTTTAATGATAACTTATCATATTGCTTAAAACAAATGTTAAAATTGTTTACCATTGAAACTTAATGAATACATACAGTAATAGCTTGCATATTTGCTGCTGAAAAGTTTAATTTTAATCAACAAAACATTTAAAAAAAAAAAAAAAAAAAAGAAGGTATCATGAGAGAAATTTGGATATTTGCAAGAATGGAAGGTTGATTTGAAGTAATTAGTAAAGTAATATGAATGGATGAAGAAAAAAAAAAACAATTAAACGATAAAATAGGAAAGGAATTAATGGAAATAAAAGATATTAATTTCATTCCGTATCCATTATTATTCCGGAAAAACGAAAAAAGGCAAAAGATTGGTGATAATGAAATGATTGAAATAAAAGCAATAATTTAAGGAAATGAATTAATACTATTTTTATTCATATCAAATGTGAATGAAAAAGTTTACTTACATACTTACATATATTTTAATTTAAACTGATTAATTTAACAAATGATCGATCTGAATTATACATAAAATGCATCAATTTCAATTCTATGATTAAGAAAAAGAATTATTTTTGAAGCAAAAAAAAGGAAAGAAAAAAATGAAAAACTCAATGAGGAATAATTTCATTAATTTTTGATATAAAATAGAAATTAATCAAAGTTCAATAAATGAAATGGAATGAAATGAAATGTAATGATAATAAAGATAATAGCATAAATAAAATAATCAATGTAATACTTCGCATACAATACTCAAATAATGAAATAATATAAATAGAAGAATAAAAAAAAAAACAAAACCTCAGAACAATGAAACATTAAC